GAAAGGGATCTCCCAGGATCAGGCACGATGGAAGTGCATCTATATTAGATTCAGAAACACCATTAGCAACGAAGCACTCGACTGATTAAGCAGAGTGAGCGAAAGTTTGAGGAAAACGCTGAAATTTCCCTGAGACTAAAAATTTAGAAATAGGGACTAACTGCCACAGTTCGTAATAGATTTCATGTTCATGCATCGAATTGTCTTTCATCTTTAATAAAATGCGTTTCATGACATAATGCAGCTAGAAGAAAGGCTATATGCCTCTCTGCCAACGCTTGATGATTCCGCTCATCACACGTTCAGCCAAATTTAAAGAACAACGCGCAAATCACATGAAAGAACATTAATGTTAATTTTTTTACTATTTTTTCTGTTAGTTTTATGTACGTACTTATTTATTACGTACAGCTGAGAAGTGACACAGAATTATCTGTATAATAATAGGTTGACAAACCTGAGGATGATAGCAGATATTACACATAAGATTAAGCTAACTTGTTTCATAGTACTGTACTACCTTTGGCTTGTACTATGAAGAGTGAAGGAAAGTAGGATAAAAATAGTTAGAACAGAGATTGATTAATGAAGTTCAAAAATTGGTTCGATCGAAATTTCCTCTAAACAGAGTGAATCTGGTATTCGTTTCTCTATCACCTTCAAGAAAGGCATCATCCATCATCATCGAGGAGAATTCAGAGCGTCATCTTGAGGATTCTGGTGTTTTGACACGCGTGAATTTTTGCCAACTTTTGTGATTTTTCCAATTTCGTTTTTTTTTTCACCTACTTAGATGTGAAAAATTGAAGTTTTTTCTTTAATTTTTAGTCTAGTCAAGTATCCTCATATTTTTACAAACCTGACGATCTAACACTCAATTAAAATCTTATAATGGATAAATAATTTGCTGCCTGCAGCGATTCCGGAATTTATGGTAAGAGCTTCCGGTGTGAACAAATATGTTAACGCCATACCACTGCCTCATTAGCTAATGAGTTTCGGAGTTCATTGCATATCTTAGCAGATGTCATGGAAGCTGGAGGGTATAGATTTTGATCCCAAATGCAGACGATTAGCTCCAACTTTTGCTGGCTCTTGCTTTCAGTCTAGAAGAACAGAAGGAAGTTTCTTTCGATTGCACAAGCAAGAAAGCTTTATTCAAACTGGATAACATCTTTCATTTAATTTATTGTCATCATTTCGCTTGTATTTACCGAGTGGAATGTTAACCTTCAATCGATCATAAAAACAGTTTTTCAATGAATGGTTCCAATTCTCTGGATGAACTTGTATCTAGCCTTCCAAACAGGCAGGTGATATAGTACAGTACTCGTTAGCGGAAATCTCGCAAACTAAAATGTTGAGTTTCAATGATGATGCAGAAGAAACACCCTACCTTCAGCTTAGAGGACTTCACGTATTAAATCCCTCTACGTTGTTAGGTGATTTTGAGTCTCTTGATTATGCCTTGACATTTAGTAATATAGAGGTCACTGTTTTCCTCCACCGTTTCCATCAATCATTTCCAATCCATCATTTCTGTTTCTCGCTTTTCAACCAGACGTAGAAAATTCGAATTGATTTGCTCTCCAAGTCATCGTTTGTCTCCGTGCCAGTTTTTTTACCATATATTTCGTTGTGTTCGAACTATTTTGCATCAAAAATGTTCAAATTCTCACTGTTACGCATCTTCGCCCGGTAAAACATGTACTGGGAGTCGTGGAACATGATTTATTTTCTTTTGGGGCCATTATTCTACGGAATCTCAGAAGAATACTATATATGGCATATACAGCATTCACATACATTATCATATGTGTTAATAAATGTGTTTTTGTGTTTTTGTGAGGGGAGAACTCTTTCGCCTAGGGAAGCTTTTCACAGATCACTGCACTTTGCATATAAGCGATGGTTGGAGGGCTATACAGCCTCTCAGTGCTGGGTAGACTAAATAAGAATTCGATACCAAGCAAATACTACGTAGCTGTAGTCTCCTGAAACAGTCTTCTAAAAGTGTAGAAGCAAGGAACTAGCACGCCATGTGTGACCGCTGAGGAGACATGATATTGTTCTAACTCGCGGCATCAAAAACTGCTATTTTGGGCAGTCGGCTCAAAAATATCTGGTCATTAGGCATTAGGCATTAGTCATTAGGCAGATTCTTTTGCGTTTTCAGCATTGTTGCTATAGCCCTCTGGACGTAATAGGTAACATCCATCCTTGAAGCTATATGAAATTAGTGCATTCAACCGTTCTTCTGATTTCTGGAGTGATAGGGGGAATAATCATGTCGATTTATATTCATTATTATTGGTAGACGCAACGGAAAACTGAAAATGAGATCGACCCTGATAGGCAAACTGATCTAAAATGAATGCTTCACTCCCTTCTTCTGAACTTTTTTGAAATTCTTTGCTTGAGTCTGAGGATCTTATATCTTTTGCCGCTAACATATGGATGAATGTGAAACATGGAGCCTAGCATGAAAGCTCTCTAAAACTTGAATTTAGGTGGCACAGCATGAAAATGTAT